CAGCAGTGTGATGCTAAGGAATAAGTGTCATTGATGCTGATGCCCTGGCTATTGGAGAATACTTTCTCATTGGTATGAGAAAGCCATGTAGAGACCAAGCCATTCCCAAGATCTGCCCCTTGGGAATCCGTGGAAGGGGGAAGAGGTCAGTAATCATCTACAGGTAGTCCTTGCTTAGTGACTGGTTGCTTAGCAACCATCCAAAGTTACAACGGACCTCGCCAAAAGCTACTTATGACTCAGTTCTGGAGTTCTAATGACTGAATTCTCCCACAGTCTCATCAATGCACTGTGAGCGCTTGGCAAGCATTTCATCTTTCCATAATCACATGTCCATGATTTACCACATTTATTTTGCCAGTTTCTGGCCTTTTCAGCCAGTTTTCAGCAAAAAAAAAAGTCCATACAAATACATTGATTCACTTAATGATCATCACAAAAAAAGTCGTAAAATGGCATCTGGCCATGTGGGTGGTTTGACTTACAACTGTCATGAGTTACAATGGAAATCCCTGGCTCCATTACAGCTGTAACTTGCTTTGTAACTTGTAACTATCTTTATGAGAATAGTAAATGGCAAGATAAATGCTTTGATTTTAATTGCTGTGCCCAGCCTCAAATTTGAGCAAAATGCCTCTTGGTGAGCTCTTTCCTCTGTTAACTTGTGCTAGCAACATGGCAAGCAGCAGTGGTCTACAGTGCAGTGGTTTAACATATAACAGATTAACAGAGTTGGAAGGGGCCTTGTAGGTCATCTAGTCCAATCCCCACCCCCATCCAAGGAGAAACACCATTTCTGACAAATGGCAGACCAGTCTCTTCTTGAAAGCCTCCAGTGATGAAGCTCCCACAGCATCTGAAGGCAAGCTGTTCCATTGGTTGATTGCTCTCACTGACAGAAAATTTCTCCTTATTTCCAGAATCTCTCCTTGATCAGTTTCCATCCATTATTCCTTGTCTGGCCTTCAGGTGCCTTAGAAAATAGCTTGACCCCTTCCTCTCTGTGGCAGCCCCTCAAATATTGGAACACTGCTATCATGTCTCCTCAGGTCCTTCTCTTCACTAGACTAGCCATGCCCAGTTCCTGCAACTGTTCATCGTATGTTTTAGCCTCCATTCCCCTAATCATCTTGGTTGCTCTTCCTGTACATATACACATATATATACTCCATTACACTTTTCTATAATTATTCTATAATTTTATAGTATAAAAGGATTCCCTTTTCAGAATTGTGGGGAACTGAAAGAGATGGAAAAGAAAGTGAAAACTTCCTAGGTAAACATTAATAGCCAACCTTGTTTGAGGGATCATTGACAGCAATTCCAGTTATTATTTATGGTATATCATACATGGACTAGCAGCATATATTAACATTTCACCTAGATTAGTAAAACATAATGAATTATAAATTTGTAAAAGATTTATGTTCAAATACTAATGTCTAGACCATCTAACCATTGAAGTACAGCATTATTTATATTAAAAACAATCAAACAAAATAAAGCTGGAAGGGACCTTGGAGGTCTTCCAGTCCAGCCCCCTACTCAAGCAGAAGACCCTATACAATTTCAGACAAATGTCTGTCCAGTCTCTTCTTAAAAACCTCCAGTGATGAAGCACCCACAACTTCTGAAGGCAGGCTGTTTCATCTGTTAACTGGCCTCACTGTTAGGAAGTTACTCCTTAATTCCAGGTTGCTTGTGTCCTTGCTTAGTTTCCATCCATTGTTCTTGTCCTGCTCTCTGGTGCTTTGGAAAATAAATTGATTCCTCCCCCTTCTCTTTGTAGCAGTTTCTCAAATGCTGGAATATTGCTATCATGTCCCCCCAGTCCTTCTTTTCTCTAGATTAGCCAAACCCAAATCCTGCAACTCTTCTTCATATGTTTTATTCTCCAGATCTTTAGTTGCCTTCTTTGCAGTTTTTCCAAAGTCTCAACATCTTTTTGTAATGTGGTGACCAAACCTGGATACAGTATTCCAGTTGTGGCCTTACTAAGGTTTTGCAATCAGATACTGGACCTGTATATGCCTTCAATTTATAGCTGGTCACAGTGTGATCTACAGTTTGTTTTGGGACCCTGCAGTCACACTGAAGGGAGGATAATATTTATTTATTTATTTATTTATTATTAAAATTTATATGCCGCCCTTCTCCCGTAGGACTCGGGGCGGCTCACACAATAAAAACCACAACAATAAAATACTAAAAACCAATCCAAATTTAAAGTCCCCAAAGTTAAAAGCCTCATAGTCAGTCAGGGAATTTGCTGAAAAAGCCATGTCTTCAAGCCAATGTGGAAAGTGTGGAGATCGGGAGCCATCTGGAGCTCGGTGGGTAACCCATTCTAGAGGGTCGGTGCAGCCACAGAGAACGCCCTCATCCTGGGGGTTGCCAGCTGACATTGTCTGGCCGACGGCACCTGGAGGAACGCAGCTCTATGAGAACGCACTGGGCGGTAGGAGGCCGGTAGGAGGTGGTCCTGCAAGTACCTCAGGCCCATGCCATGAAGGGCTTTATAGGTAAGTGCCAGCACCTTGAAGCGGATCCGGAAGGCCTCCGGCAGCCAGTGCAGCTCACACAGAAGAGGTGTTGCACGGGAGTAACGAGAAGCTCCTGTAACAACCTGCGCGGCTGCATTCTGGACCAGCTGGAGCCTCTGGGTGCACCCCAAGGGCAGCCCCATGTAGAGGGCATTGCAGTAATCCAACCGAGAGATGATGAGAGCTTGAGTGACTGTGCGGAAGGCATCCCTGTCTAGGAAAGGCCGCAACTGGCACACTAGGCGAACCTGTGCAAAAGCCCCCCTTGTCATGGCCGTTAGATGATCCACCAAGGACAGCCGTGAATCAAGAAGGACGCCAAGATTACGAGCCCTTTCAGAGGGAGTAAGCAACTCCCTTCATATCAAAAGTGACCGGGTGACTAGATCAGGAGATGCCGGGATCCACAGCCACTTAGTCTTGGAGGGGTTGAGTCTGAGCCTGTTTCTACCCATCCAGACCCGTACCGCCTCCAGGCACTTAGACATCACGGAAAGGGCATCCCTGGGTTGATCCGGGGTGGAGATGTACAATTGGGTATAATCAGTGTACTGATGATACCTCACCCCGAAACTACGAATGATCTCACCCAGTGGCTTCATGTAGATGTTAAAGAGCAGGGGGGAGAGAACCGACCCCTGTGGTACCCAAGTGAGGGGTCTCAGAGAGGATCTCTGACACCCCGCCTAAACAAACTGCGTACGGCCCGAGAGGTAGGAGGAGAACCAATGTAAAACAGTGCCCCCCTCTCCCAACTCCACTCCCCCACTCCCATAATATGCCCCCTTTATATAGAAAGTCCCAGCAGACACCATGTGAGGTGCAAATCCTATTCAGGATTGTCTATTGTTGGCATGGTAGTTCAAAGCCTGGCACCTTTTTTGTGGGGTCATGTATATGTCTTCCTATGTCTGGACCAGTGGTGGGTTTCCCCCGGTTCGGACCGGTTCGCAAGAACCGGTAGTAAAACCAATGGGAGGCTCCGCCCACCAACCCCAACATCATCAGAAAGCTTCTGCGCATGCGTGTGCACGGTCCCGTTGCAAACCGGTAGTAAAGGTAAGTACAACCCACCCCTGGTCTGGACATTCAGTGACCTATTGGTTTTCCATTGGAAATCGATATTCAAATTATTGGGCAGATGTTCTTCAAGTGCCCATCCACTTCCTGGATGTGAATCTATATGAGCTATTCTGATGCCATTCGTGACTTATTGAGGTGCTCTTACAAAGGAGAATGGGAACACTTCACAGTATATACTGTACCTTTTGCCTGTATTTTACACTTTGAACACACACGTAATTCAATCTCAAAAACTTAATATTTGATTAGCTCTACCACTCTTTTCCTTTGAGAGCAGGGCTTTGGCCTGAAATATGCAAAGAATCAGAAGGAATGAAGTGTGCCTAAGCATGCTTGAAATGTATACCTGCATTTTCCCCCAAACTACCACCCTCGTCTTCTCTCTGTGGAGTGTAATATGTCTGTCCCCCTTTGCACCTGGGACCTTAGTCCCCCAAAGCACATGCTGGGAAGAAATGTGTTAGTTTTCAGGTGCCAAGATTCTTCAGGTGCCTGCTCGGTACTTTCCTCCTATATGCCAACTGCCAAGTATACTATATCTGCATTTGCATGATAAATTGCTGGCATATTTTTCTACACCACAGAGTACAATCAATGGTCTTGGTAATTTCATATCCTCTCATTAAAGTGCTTAATTTGAGGCTTGTTGCATTCTCTCTCTCCCTCGTGATCAAGGAGCGTTTTTCTCCTTTTTTTTTTTAATAGATTCAACTTGGCTGAAAAGAAGAGTGCTTCTGAGTATGTCCAGATTGCATCCAATTCTACTGAACAGTTTCAACAGATTCAGGATTAAGAGTAGAATCAGTTTCAAAACCAACCACAAACTCCTGTGTCTTTGTTGTTTTTTAAACACTTAAATGATTTTTACTTCCAATTACAATTGTGCAATTGCATTAGCCTTAGTGTACATCCCTGTTTTGATTTGAAACATTTGAGATTGAAACTGTAGGAAAGCTTAACTGTGGATCCACTGTAGATACTCAAGATCAGGAACTACGGAGTCAAACAGGATTTGCCATGAAATATTGTTGTATTTTTAATATTCAGCACAGTTCTGTGCAAAATGAAACACTGTGGGAAATAGTGAACATTGGATGGCACCCTGTATGCTCATGACATTCTTAAGCCAAATATTGTATTAAGGGCATGCATTTGCCCAACATGTCATACTTGACTAAATTTAATCTTGTTTTATTTTTTGTTGTGGCTGTCTTGTACATTTTAATTCAGTGTCCTGTGTCGCTCTTAAATATGAGCTAACATAAGTTAGCAAAATTAAGTGTATTCTGCATAGCCTGCCCCCCACCCTTTGACAGTTTTAGAACAGTTTTTTCCTTTACTCTCCTTCCCTACTTCAAAAAAATCCAGGCACAATCAGGTTACAATTTTTTTTTAATTTATCTGAATAATATAACAATATAGTTGTCAGTTAACACTATACAAGCTCATGGAAAGGATCCCCATAATATTTTCCAGCTTAAGCAAATTACCTGATTTCAGAACATCTTTGAAAAACCAAACACATAGAGCAAAACAAGAGAGAAATAATCTTTTTCCAGGGAAAAGTCAAACAGATTTGCAAGCCGGAATATTTCTGTAAAAGGAATGGGGCTTAAATGCATTTGTTCAAAGTCCTATTCCTTTCTGCTGAATTTCTTTCTATCCAGGTCTGAAGCAGGTGGTTGTAATAGGTAAAGATCAATGGTCAGGGAGGTAACAGACCCCTTTGTTTACCCAGGCCCCTGAGAATAGCCAAATCCTCCACTAATTATTAACCAGAGAGCAAATAGCACCAGTCCCTTGTAATTGTAGGGTCAGGGTTCTTTCCCACCCACCCCATCTGCTCCAAACAACTTTTTTTTTTTTTAACTAAATCTAAACTAATGTCTTTGCTCCCAACTTCAGTCTTCTTTTTCCTGCATCTTCTTTGCAGGGGATTCTGGCCTTTGTCCAATATTTACATCTTTCATGAATCATTTGTTATCTATGCAGGTTTGGGTTGGTTACCTTTTTTCTTCCCAAGTCTTCTTGCATTCTTTAAGTCCCCGATTCTTTCAGTCAGGCATGCATTCATTCCTCTTGTGCTCGTTTCAGAATTAAATTCGCCGTTTTTCTTCAACTCTGTGTCTCTTTATTCTTTAGATGCTGATTTTGACCCAAAAAGAATGGCTTTTGTATCAGAATAGTCAAAAGAGTTTATAAAATAACCAGTTCTCAGTGCCATTTTCTGTTCCTCTCATTATTTAATTTGTCTGCTTCTTGACCTGTTCTCATAGCCTCATGTTCTTTGTACATCTGCCTAAGCAGGCCCAAAGCAATGTGCTGATTGAGACAAAGGATATGTATTTATTTATTTGTGTATTTAAATGGAAGGGACATCCAACTCCAGGTCATGCTGAGCATCTTACATTTAAAAAAAATAAGAAAACCATATAACAAGGAGGGGGGTGGAAACATGTACATTCAGGGGGGAAAAATCAAGGAAACAACTGTCAGAGGTTCTACACCCACCTTACCTTCCAAAATATTTTGGAATGTCATCAGAATGAGAGCCTTAGATGGGATGCCGTTCCAGACGATAGGTATTGCAATAGAGAAGACACACTGCCTAGGTTTCCACATTGCTTAATTAAAGGGATTTGGAATGCATCATCTCTGCCTAATCTTACTGGGTGAATAGAAATTGCCAGAACAGTCCTGTAGTGGTTCTCAATCATCCAGGTCATGGTTGTCCCAAAGGTGCTTTTTCAGGAGGCAGTTCAACTTTCTTGATTTTTTTTTCTTTTGAAGACATTTCACTTTCTATCCAAGAAGCTTCTTCAGCTTCCCCGCTATCCTGTCAGAGCTGAAGAAGCTTCTTGGATGAGAAGTGAAACATCTTCAAAAGGAAAAACAAGAAAGTCCAGTTGCCTCCTGAAAAAGCACCTTTGGGACTATCAGAACAGGCAATTCATCAAATAACCAGGCCAATGAAACCATGTATAAGTAATAATCAGGACCTCGAATTATACCTAGAAACAGAATGGGAACCAGTGCAGCTCACGCAGTAGCAATGATAAATGAGTAAATCATAGCATGAACATCATTGCCTGCACTGCTGCATTCTGGAACAGTTGTAACTTTCGAGTGGTCTTCAAAGGCAGACTCGTGTGCATCGTATATTGCAGTAGTCCATTCATGAGGTCTCTAGGGCCTAGGTGAACATCTAAAGGGCCTCCCAACCTAGGTACAGGTGCAACTAGGGCAACAGATGAATCTGTGCAAAGCCCACCCCCACCCCCCAATGGCCACAGCTTGCTACCTGCTGTTTGAATAAGAACTATGGATCAAGGATTATCCTCAAGTTGCCTACAGTCTAAAGTGGGGAAGTACTATCTCATATAAAACTAAAGATGGAAAATCCCCAGATCAAGGGTGGGAGGGAATAAACATAGACCATTTTGTCTTGTCAGGATTGAATCAATTTGTTCTTCCCCATCGAGACCTGAACAACCTCTAGACCAGTGGTGGGTTGCCCCTGGTTCAGACCAGTTTGCAAGAACCAGTTGTAAAACTGGTGGGAGGCTCCGCCCACTGACCCGGACATCATCATAGGTGATCTGCGCATGCACAGAAGAAAGAGCGCAGGCATGAGCGTGATACAAACCGGTAGTAAAGGTAAATAGAAACCACCCTTGCTCTAGACACTGTGACAGGACATTAACAGCATCATCTGGACAGTCTGGGATCAAGATGGGTATCATCTGATACTGGTGATACTGACAGATGGCTTCATCTGATTGTTTCAAGTAGTTGCTGAGCAAGAGGGGAGAAGCTTCAAGCTCTGACACACCTTAGAAACAAAGAGCTGCAACATTCCCTCCCCAAGCACTGATTGGAGCTGACCCCTGGGAAAGAGGAGAAGCACTATAAAATGATGCCTCCCTTCCCCAAATCCTGCAGCTGGTCCAGAAGGATACTGCGATCATTCATCATTGGTACTGAAGCCACTGAGAGATCAAGAGCACCACTCCCATCCCAGCTTCCCCAAAGATCATCAGCAAGTGCAGCTAATGCTGCCTCTGTCTCTGTATTTTTCTGTACTGTACTCTACTATACAGCAGGGGTGTCAAACTCAAGGCCCGCGTGCTGAATCTGGCCCATGGAGTGCTTTGATCTGGCCCGAGGGGCCACCTCAGAAACAGTGAAGGAACAGCCCACAATGCCACTGCCAGCAAAAAGGTTGTCCAGGGGGGCAGTGTGTCCTCCCTCCAGGGTCCATGTTCACTGGCAGAGGACTAGCAAAAAAACTAAAAGCAAAACAAAAGGAGAAATGTTTCCCCTTTTGCATTTGAGCATCCAATGGACAGGAAAGAGGAAAGACAAAGAAGGAAAGATGTGAAGAGAGCAAGGAAGGAAAAATAAGGAAAAAGGGGAAGGAAGAAAAAAGGAGAATGAAGAGGGAAGGAAAAAGAAGAAAAGGAAGGGAGGGAGGGAGGGAGGGAGGAAGATTATAATGAGAGAGAGGGAGAGAAGGTTTGAGGGAAGTCCTGCCTTAGCACTTGGCCACCACAGGTGTCCCTGACACAAATGACATTGAGCTAGCCATGCCCACTCCAGTCCCCCAAGGTCAAATACAACCCTGATGCAGCCCTCAATGAAATCGTGATTGACACCTCTGCTATACAGCCTGAACCCTGACTTAAATGGACCCAAATAATCTCTTTCCTGTAAAATCCTCTGCTACAGATGCCTAACCACTTTTCATTATTGCAACATTCTATTCAAAAGTTAACCGGTTGGAAATTTAACTCATACTTCATCATCCCTGACAGGCCCGCTTATGACGTTATCCAGCCAGTTTAGAAGCCCAAGGCATACCTTGTGTCTCACAGTGCAGTCTTCCAAGAGAAGGAACAGCCTGAAGTCTTTGAAGGGACAACAGGCAATAGGAGAAGACCATTACTTTGGCCTAAGATAATTACAGTATTTCATTCTCCAGATGGCAAAGCCATTGCTATCATGGTGTTTCTAGTCTTCTTCCTCTACTTCTTTATTTTTCACCTCCACATACATGTTATGCACTGTTAATTTATCCATATACTTGTCCTAAACCTGCCCTTGTTTGTTCAGCTGCCCCAGTTGTTCCTGCATTCCACTTGTGTTTGCTGATGTATTCATCTCATTTAAAAAGATTTGTTCATTGTCTCTCATATCCCTTTATTTGTTCACATTTCCTCAGTCACTCACATCACTCATTATACTTGTATACCCACACATACATGCACATATATACATGCACCAACATTCCAGAATTGCCAGATATCATAGCTAAACCCAAACTGATAAGGTTGTCCTATCTTCTTGTTCCAGAAGTCCTTGGGCCAATAATGCCTGTCCTAGTTTGGGTCCTGCAGTATCTGGCAAATTTCATCACCACCTCACCACTACAACTGCTCAGACATAATCCCGCTTGTCAATCGTACTGCCTGGTGGAGCAGTAGATCTGGCTGGAACAGAATATGCAATACGGCCTGGGTAACGGTTGTCCCTTGGCGGGCAGGAGCAGCACAGGAGTGATCCTCCAAGGAGTAGTAAGGCAGAAGCTGCCCAACCAACATAGAGAGCAGCCCCCAGTTCCCTTTTGAGAGATTCAGCCACAATTGGATTGTAAAAGTCACGGATGATGGAGTTGGCACACCAGCAGACAGGAATAAGTGCGAGAAGTCCTGAGACGATAAAGAAGGCACCTGAGGTAATGACAATACGTGCCTTGGCACCTTCTTCCTCCACACAGTTGGTACACTTGGCTCCAACAATACTCACCAACAATGCCAGGACAGCAAGCACCACAGAGATAACCATGAGGGCCCGGGCAGCTTGAATATCTTGAGGCAGGGCTAGCATGGAATCATAGATCTTACACTGCATCTGGCCAGTACTCTGCACAACACAATTCATCCACAGTCCCTCCCAGATTATCTGCGCCACAACAATGTTGTTTCCGATGAATGCTGAAACCTTCCACATGGGCAATGCACATGAAAGGATAGTCCCCAACCAGCCAAAGATACAGAGGCCCATTGCCATGATCTCTAGCCCTGCAGATGCCATTATGGGTATCCTTCACCTTGGCTATAAAATGCACACCTCTTTTTTTCTTTCTTCTGCTGCCCTCCGGGAGGACCAAAGATGGTGGTTTATGGACAGCAACAACAATGGACAAGTTGTTCTGAGTAGAAATCAATCAAGACAGGAATTCCAAAAACACACCCTCTAAATGGTGGTACGTAACGTCAGATGTCTATGTTTTCGCCCTGAAAGCAAACTCCTAATAAATAAATCCTAAAAGAATATTGCAGTGAGGTGGCTGTCCAAGACAAAGAAACCTACGGAGCTTTTCGGCAAAATTAAGTCTCTTTAGTAGATTAGCGAGCACAGAAGAGGCCTTCTTGGGTTACCTGCATATGGAAAGCAGCCTCGAAGGTGGCAATCTATAGCTTCCGAGAGTCTGTTTTTGATGTAGGGTCATCCAGAAATAACTGCCTGTGAGGTGTCACTTTAGGAGCTGGATTGGAGAAGGGTAGACCAAAGTCTGAAAGGTGAAGAACCCCTAAAGGGGAAATAAGGATAAATCCAATGCTATCTTTTCTCTGTGGCTCCGACAACCTGCTTGTTATTGCATTATTCTGCTTCACAGGTACCTGTTGTCTAGAAGGATCCCAAGGGAGCTTGAGCTTAGGGACAGTGAGGGGCGGGTTATATGAACCCCCAACAGGTGGCTGGGAGGGGCACCAGACCAATCTGAGAAGGGCATTGGGGGATCCATGGTAACCAAGACCTGGGTGGTGGTGTTATGGAGAGAGTTTGAATATTTCTTTATTTTCTGCTGGCTAGTTGGGAAGCTGCCCATTCCAGAGGAGAAAGAGGGGGGAGAGGAAGAGGCCGAGAAAAACAAGCAAGGGTGGAAAGGGAGGGAGGGAGGAGGAAAGACAGAGAGATATAGAGGGAGTTATTGTGGTCAAATTCTTCTATAGAAGAGATTTTTTTTTAAATGGAAACTATTGGATATTCATTATGCCAACCAGGCATAATGCCAGAGTTACATAGATGTGTCACATCTACTATATAAATTAACTGAAAGTTTTCACAAGGGTCCACATGCAGGCATGTGCACACAACCCGCACACAAACATACTGTAATTTTCATTACACAAATGCAACTCTCTATAATAAATGCGTAACAGAAGCTTTTGTGAAGTTCATTTTGTAACATAAAATATTATCTTGAGTTACACTGAAAGAATAGACAGCACCACTATTGCTAAAAGTGGTTGATCACAAAACATTTGTTGGGAGCAGCATAATCTGACATTAGTATTCTATGTTAATGTGCATAATATGATTAAAAGCACCCACAACCTACTTCTAATTCTAATAGAAGTTAATTGAACTTCTAATTCAAACCAAAGAAGACGGAATTTGTTCTGACTATCTGTATTTTAGTGGATTCAGTCCTGTTGTTAACCGTATGAGTTTGACTAAGTCGCTTTTGGTTCAACATGTTGGGAGAACCCAGTCAATTTTGGTTAATTAATAAATGTTATGTACTAATTCAGTCATTGGGACTTACAGATATGCTTATCCATATTGTGATTAGGGTTACTTTAGCACCCAAACCCAGTTAAAGAGTCGTGGCTGGATGAGTTCTTTAACATGAGTGTGAAACCAGAATTGCAATTGATCTAAACCTTGGTCTGCACAGTATTTCTCAACATTACCCATTTTAGGATGTATGGACTTCACTTCCCAGAATTCTCCAGCCCAGAATTCTGAGAATTGTGAAGTTCAAGTGTTTGTGTATGTGAGAGAAAGGGAAGATGGAAGAAGTGTCGATTTTAACTGCTTTTTCCTGCCTCAGGATGCAAAGCTAAGACATTAGAGTGGTCTCAAAATGATGTCCCTCTACCACTGCCATCTCTGTTGCTTCTGCCTCCCAGAAATATGCAGAGAAGAAAAGGGGACACCAATAGGTTAAATGGAGATTAAATTATACATATACTTTCCTATTACTCCTAGCTTTTTCAGCATTGCAGCCATTAGTTGTTGGATTCTCCTGCCTAAATGGACTAGAACAGAAACTAGCTTGAAAGTCCATTTCCAGATGTCGACCCCTTTCCTTTCTTTGGCCTGGTATTGTACCCCTACTAAGGGATTCTGCTGGTTCTTTACCTCTTCTGCCTGTGCTGGGAAAGCAAGTGTTAATTGTTTTCCTTTTTGTGGATAGGTTTTTCAGGACATGTAGACTTTAATCCACATCTCCCTCTGTTGACTTCATCTCATACATGAAACTTTTTTATCCAGTGAATCTATTGGTTAAAAAAAAGCAGACAAGACCACCATTTTTCTATTCTTCCTGTCCCTTGGGTTACAAGAAACTGGCAATATTTTTTCAAATAAAGATCCTAATAGCATCTTCTCTGACCAACCAATTTGATTGAAAGCCACTAACTTTCAAGAGCTGCAATTCATTTTATCAGATGCACTGAGCACTAGACTGAAGTAAGGTTTAAATTGGGATAAGGCATGGTAGGGGGTGGAAGTGAGGGGACAAGGTTAGCTGTGTAGATGCAGGTTATTTGTGAGACAGAGCACACATATCTTATCAACTAACACTTATAATGTGTTAAAAACCCTTTGTGCTTGTTGAAATCTTCTGAGATTATCTAAAACCTTTGAGTTAGCAGTCTTTTGCTGACTGGTGCTGTTGGTCTCTCTTTTCTCCCTCCAAGATGGTCATTGTAAGGTCTGTCACAGAGGTTGAAAAGCTGTGATATTACTTTGTCCTTGTTTCGGCTCCTGATGTCAAACTTGTGTCCATTTATTCTTTTGCAAAAAGTGTGTCCCATTTGGTTTACATATAATCTGGAGGATTAGAATGGGCAAGTGATGGTAGATGTACCACATTAAAAGAAAAGCATGTGAAAGCACTTCTCAACTTATGTATGTGTTGGCGCCTGCACAGGGCTGCTGATAGTGATGTGGGTCTGTGGCAAATTCCAATTTCCATGTTACCATCACTATTCTGTTGTTTGTCATTCTTTGTGAGAATGGACAAATTCTGCTTTGGACTGGACAATTGTCTGAATGCCAACTGGTGCCTGAAAAAGTGCAGGGTCATTGTCTAATATGGATTGTAGCTTATTAATAATGCATTTGAGTATTTTCAGCGGTGAGCTGGAAGAACCTGCAGTAGTCTGGCAGAACTCTTATTCGTTTCACCTTGTTAAAATCCACCATTTCATCAATGAACCTAGCAAGGGAAATAGGGAAGGAAAGGAATACTAGTGAACATTAAAAAAAAAAAAATTCCTGCATTTCACTGATCAAAATCTCTTCAGAAGAGGGAAAACCCTAGCAGCCCAGGACAAAATGGCTGGGGAAAACAACCACCACCACCAGTGACCAGAGGGAAGGGCTATCATTGCCACAGCCAGCATAAAGTAGTGGATTGGAAGGGAAAAAATAAAACGAAGTGCAGCAAGCAACATGGGAAGTGCCACCTGTCTTGGAACTAGCAGATAAAACTTTTCATATGTAGCAAAAAAATTTGAAAAGAGGTTGCCTCCCCAGTGAGTTGTGGGGGAGAAACAGGATGACACCAAGCACTCCTGTCCTTGCAGGGGCAACTGGTCACACAGATCAACCCTAATCCTAAATCTCATTGAACACAAAGGGCTTATTTCTGAGTTAAGCATGTACCAGACTGTGTGGTATGTAAATTATCACATCCCCGGATATGGCTCTTATAAGGCAAACCTAAGACAGTCAAATAAAGTAATCGGGTAGTCTAACAGAAGTTTTCTATCTCCAGTTCAAAATGAGGCATGTTGCCCAAGACTGATAAGATGCTGAGCACACATAACTCTGAAAAGAGTTGATAAGGTGGCAACCGCAGTTGATAAACAGGAGATTATTGTTCACCAGGCATAGCTGTAAAAGGAGTTGCCTTCTAACCCCTGGATGGCCTTTTCGTTTTCCTTGTGGAACAAGTGAAAAAAAAATGGGGCTCCCTACAGTTAACCCATAGTACTCGTACTATTCAAAACAGCATCTGGATTTTTGCACTGGAAAATTCAAGAGCCATCAACATAACAGAGGAAATCTCAAGGGAAGAGTTCAATATTTCAAGCATGAAAGCAATAAATATTTTTGTAACATTTTAACACCTAAAATCCTTAATTATTATCACCCTCATTATGATTAGTATCTGTATTCTCTTTGTTCACTAAATTTGAGATAATATACTTGGCTCAATTATTTTATGATGTTTGTGTATCTATATTTTTCTTGACTGTACACCGCCTTGAGTCCTACGGGAGAAAGGCGGTATAGAAATATAATAATAATAATAATAATAATAATAATAATAATAATAATAATAATACCAATTATCACTCGTTATCACCTTGTGAGATAGCTTAGATTAGAGAAAGTGACAACCTGAAGTCTCTTCTGTACTTTATAGCAGAGAGGATGGGATTTTAATTTTGACTTGCCTTCCAAAGCTGACCATTGCAGTATAGCCTTCACAATTTGCTAACTCCCAAAATTCCTTTATCCCAACAATAGCCATACTGCCTGGGAGATTGCAGCATGGAGTTATCCAACATTACATCTGGGCAGCACCAGGTTACAGAGTATTCTAAGCATAAATTACTACTGAAAATATCTTGCTCTGTCATTATTCACCACGCCAAGCTATTCTGCCTTTCTACTGCAAAGTTTTAGAGCACTAGCAAAATATCGATTACTTGATTATCTGGTACTCTATCTCTCACTAATAAATCCTCTTTTCATCTTGTCTTACCGTTTGAAGATGCCCAATTGAAATGCCATTTATCACAGATACTAAAATTGTAATCCTGTGGAACATCTGGATCAGGGCTTTCTCACCTCCTACTTGTAGTAGGAGAAAAACTGTCATTCCTGAAGATGGAATAGCTTTTTTCCAATGAAGTAGCACTCTCCCATTAGGCTGAGTCAAGGGATAAAAATATCTGTGTTTTCTCTACTAAAGTTTAAATATGAGTGATTTCTCATCAGTATTCACATACTTATTTTCTCAGTTAAAAAAAAACAATGCCTTCACCTTAAGCCTATTGAGAGCTATTAAATACATTCTATAAATGCACAGGCAGTACAGTGCTGTGTAGTGCATTGAATTTTATCTCCAAAAGGTGTTTTGGAGCGTGTAGGGAAAAAATCCAGATTTTGGAGATAACATGAAAAGTGCTCTAGTGCTGAGTAGCAATTGCTGGTCAAGGGGAAATAGCAGGAGATTATTGGTGTTTTGATATTCTTCAGGAAGTATCCAGCGGAGCATGGTGTGATCTAGCAAACTAGATGGCTTGCCAGTTTAACCTATGAGAGATGTTTTTATATATATTAGAATAGAGGACATGCCCTCTGATCTGCTAATTATGTAGGATTCAACCCTAGTTATAGTGTGAAGCAAGTTTTTATATCGTTTAACTGGGGTTGGCATTTTCCAGTAACAAGCCCCTTTTCATGGATCATGGAGCCCCCTCTTGCTGAAAATCAACAGTGCAACTTCTACCATTTTTAGGTAAAAAATGCAAAAACACCATGTAAACTAAATAGGCTTCATACAATTAAAATGAACAAAATCCTCAAAAAATAATTTTAAAAAAGCCC